ATATAACCAGACTAATTGGTCACCAAGTCTTGTCATTTCCACTCGCTCAGCATCTCTAAAGTCTGTCCCCTCCTCCTGTCCTCATTCTTGCGCTCATCCTGGTCAGGCATCGCTATCCTTCACCTGGATGCTGTCATCAGCTTCTAGCTATCTTCCTGCCTCTGAAATTGACCCTTCTCACACTTGCCAGCCACAGCAGAGAGCATGTGGAAAATGTAAATATTCCTCCAGCGTGACACCCTTTCATGATGACTGCTGCTGCCTAGAGCACATTTCAAAACCTGTTAGCAAGACAAACTGGCCTGCCCACCTTCCACAGTGGAGCTGCCCCACTGCCCAAGACCAGAGCCTTGATGCATTCTGAATGCACACTGCAGTTTCCACCCCAGGGCTTTTGCTTACTGTGTTATCTCTGTTTGGGACGCTGTGGCAGTTTGAATAAGAATGGCTCCCATAGGCTCCTATATTTGAAGACTTAGTCACCAGGGACTGGCACATTTGAGAAAAAATAAGAGGTGAGGCCTTGTTGGAGGAAGTTTGTCACTGGGCATGGGCTTTGAGGTTTCAAAAGCTCATGCCAGGCGCAGTCCATCTCTCTCTCTCTCTCTCTGTCTCCCCCCCCCCCCCGCCCATGCCTATAGATCAGAATGTAACCCTTAGCTACTGCTCCGTACCTTGTGCGCTGTCATGTTTCCCGGCATGATGGTAATAGACTATAAGCCTCTGGAACTGTAAGCCAGCCCCAATTAAATGCTTTCTTTTATAAGAGTTGCCTTGGTCATGGTGTCTCTCCTCACAGCAACAGAACAGTGGCTAAGACAGACACCTTTTCCACCCTGTGAGCCAGGCATACAGGACTTTATCTAAGCTGCAGCATTCTTATAATGCCCCAATTTGACCTGTGCACAGTCTTCGTGGTAGGGACTACCACCAGTCTGACTTTGCAGGAAGGAAACAGCGCAAAGGGGAGTAAGACATTTTCAAAAGGTCACCATATACCCCTACCCCAAAAGGTGACAGCGTCTAGCCTGCCTGCCAGGCCAGCACCAGACACAGTCAAAGCTGGCAACCCCTCGGAGAAGCAACGGTGATATCAGGCTTCCAGCCCAGGAAGAAGAGCTCCACCCAGGCTGTGCACAGCAGCCTCCTTAAAGCCCTTGCTGAATAAACAACTGAGCTGTTGGGCAACGGAGAGCAGGAGAGGGAGGCGACCAGGAGAGAAGCCAAGCTCAGTGCCTTGTGCGTAGAGGGATGCACCAAGGGCGTCCAAAGCATGGCACAGGAGTGAACTGTCCGTGAACAAGCATGGCTTCCGGTTACATTTTAGTGAATGCCCCAAATGCATAGCTTTTGTGTTTTGTTTTGTTTTTTTTCTTTTCAGGATATACTGGCTTGGGGATAAAAGGTACCTGAGTCTTTCAAAGCTCCAATCCAAAGTGCCACAAGAGGCAAAGGTTGAAGAAGGGCAGGTGACGTCTTCAATAACAGAGGTGACCGTGTTGGTCCTTTCCTTGCTGTTCCAGAGACAAGACTGGGGCTGAGAGCAAGTTCCAGAAGAGCTGGCTTCTTTCCTCTCAGCAGAAAGGGGGCATTCTAGATGGACAGTGTCCATCTAGATGCTCCTCTGGTCAGCTCTGTCACAGAACCCAGCAGGTCCTGTGCCGGGCGGGTGGCCACATTTGTGGCCCTCTAAGACTAGGAGATGGGACAGCCGCAGCCTTCTTCCTCCCATGCCCACCGCAGCAGCAGCTGGCCTTCCCTGAGGAAAGATTTTCCGGTTTTCCCTGGAAATTCTCTGTCAGTCACATAGGGGACAGCTCCTCCCTATCACTCAGTAACCAGGGCCCTGAAAAATGAGCAGCCATACCTAGACCAGGGAATTTGAAACCAGGGGCCTAGGACCCTAATGACTAGACAGAGTTTCCTTGAAACTGAGGCCCCAGACCACAAAGCAAAAATAATAATGTAACTAGTTTTAGAAACTAGAGCTCTTGCCGGGCGGTGGTGGCGCACGCCTTTAATCCCAGCACTCGGGAGGCAGAGCCAGGCGGATCTCTGTGAGTTCGAGGCCAGCCTGGACTACCAAGTGAGTCCCAGGAAAGGCGCAAAGCTACACAGAGAAACCGTCTCGAAAAACAAAAAAAAAAACAAACAAAAAAAAAAAAAAAAAAAAAAAGGAAAGAAACTAGAGCTCTTGAGTCCAGAACCTTCTATTCCAAAATGTGCTGCCAACACCAGCTTTCTGTCAGGCACTGTATACTTTTATAAATGCAAACATCAATGACATCATCATCTCTGGAGTGATGGAGAAAGCTATCATGCAGAACACTGCAGCTTAGCCAGGTGAGGTGCTGATGGAACACCTCTCTTGCTGCCTCTCTGGGCCCAAGCCATTCACATTCCTGTCCGGAAGGAGACGAGAGACAGCACAGGCTGCTGTAGAGAGAACGTGACTGTAAAGGTGACGACACTGGTACCATCCCCTGGGAGTCAGTGGGCACAGCGTGATGAGGGGCTGGGTCATGGGAACTGAGCCCAGAGCCCAGCCACAACAGGAAGAAAGCCAGACTTGCCAGCACTACCCGCCATGCTAGTGACCAGGCAGCTGTCCCACCTGGCGTATCCCAAGATGCAGCTAGAAGCCAGAGGGCAGGTGTATGGGTGTAGCAGGAAAGGGAGTAGAGTTCCCGTTTCTTCAGATCACACTGTGCTCTATGCCATCCCAGCACCCGAAAGAACTCGTCAAAGCAGGGAGAAGGACTTCCGTTCTTTGGGTGGGAAACTGAGCACTTACTATCATCCCAAGGTCATTCAAGCTGAAGTATCTGAGCTAGGAGTCAAAGCCACTACTCTGGGCTGAGTGTAGCTCGGAGGCAGAGCCTGGCCTGACATGTGCAAGGCCCTGAGTTCTGTCCCCAGAACAACATGCGACAGCACAAAGCTAAAACCTAAAAAATAATCAATTAAAAAAAAATCAAAGCCCCCTATTTCACTCTGTTTTTCTACAACTGTGAGTGTTGGGCCAAGGTAAGTGACCCAGAGAGCGTGGTTACCACGGAAACAGAGACTGGTCCTAAGCTGAGGGTACACTAGATAGTCTGCCAGGGGCATGGTCTGCCCCCAGACCAGCATCACTTTGCAGTTGAACTAACTCAGGTATGTAGACCTGAAGCAGGAAAGAGGATTGAACCTAAGAGAAGCAGAGATCTTGCTCTTCCTTCAAGATGCAGAAACAGGAAGTTCATGTGTCTGGGAGGACCACCCCGAGTGCTGGGCTGCCTTCTGTCCTTCCTTCCAACCTGGATCCAACTGAGTTTTGATTCATCTTTTTTTAATCTGGCCTTTGTGACAACTTCCCACACAGGCCAGGGTGATACCTGACCACACAGCCTCCCTGCAGATGACAAAGTGAGGACCCCCAAAGGTTGAAGAGGCTCAGAACTCCAGGTAGGGTGGAAACTGGGCTGAAGCCAACACTGGAGACCCCTGTCCTTTCATGGACCCTTGGTCGTCTTCAATTATGCTACTGGCTACTTTCTGAGACCTGCTAGATAATAGTGTGGATTCAAGTCCAACAGCTGTGTCCAGTTTGAACTCTGAGAAAGAAGTTGCCTAGTGACCTCTGTACTCAACCCTGAAAGCATAGCCCAGTATAAGCACACAAGACTCTGCAAAAGCTAGAGTACAGTCTCTAAGGGGGTGTCCTCATGCACGGGCATACTGCGAGTCCGGCCCAGAAGACCTAGAGTAAAAACCACTACATCCAAGCCGGGCGGTGGTGGCGCACGTCTTTAATCCCAGCACTCGGGAGGCAGAGCCAGGTGGATCTCTGTGAGTTCGAGGCCAGCCTGGTCTCCAAAGCGAGTTCCAGGAAAGGCGCAAAGCTACACAGAGAAACCCTGTCTCGAAAAACCACTACATCCAGTCCGGCCAGAGCAACTCCGGCACTTGGCCAGAAACTGGACCTCATTTAGAGACCAGGAGGCTCCCCATGATACATCTGTGTCAGGACAAAGAGAAACAACAGGACTTGAGTTGACCAGCATTTGCTGCCTAGTGTTTACACACACACACACACCACTTTCTTGTTCCACCCTCACAGTAACCCCACAAAGCTGGAATAAAGCCTCCGTATTCCAGGTGAGGAGGCTGAGACCCAGAAAGGTCACAGGACTATCCAAAAACACTCTTCAAGAAGAGGTCAGGGCCAAGACTTGACCACAGTCTTTTTGACTCCTGAGTTCTGGTCTTTATCATTCTCTTCCTGCTGCCCAGATGTGATTCTGTCTATGTTCCTCTGACCAGAGAACCCGGGGAGTGTCCAGATTCACACGCACATGATCAGAAGCATCTGGATATTTTGGATGACCTGGGTCAGCAGTGAACAGATCAGCCAGCAAGGGGGAGTGGGGCCAGGGGCGGCGTGGGCGATGACGACTCACTGTCATGACAGGATGCTCAGGTCCACTCACTCCAGCTTTATTCTCACAGTCCTAGGTGAACTATATCAGCCAAGCTGGAAGAATACCCAGATGTCCAGGAAATAGTTCCCAGAGTACTGAGTCATCCCAGGCAGCCAGAAGCAAGAGACATCCTCAACCACATCACACATCCACTCCATCTAGAAAATGGTGCCTCCCAGCCTGGCGTCTTCAGAGGTGGAATCCCCACATTCAGAAGTGCAGGCTCCTTGCTGGTGTTTGAGGCAGTGTGTGTGTGTGTGTGTGTGTGTGTGTGTGTGTGTGTGTGTGTGTGTACAGCCCCCAGTCATGAAGCCATATGCCTACCCATGAGGCCACCTGAGAGGAAATAATGTCTCCATTCTTCTAAAAGATCACAGGATAGCCTCAAGACACCCTCCTTGAAGATCCAAAGAGCAAAAGGAGAGCCAAGACTTTGGACACCAACTTGTAAAATCACTCAAGTTGGGTTGAGGGTGGATGGGTTCAGTCCAGATGAAGGCAGGAGCATGGGCTACTACTTGAAGTGGAGGGACATACCTGGACTTCCCTTGTGTGATAGGCGATGATCAAACCAAGCAGGATGATGGTGGATAAACTGATAAGGCATTTCAGGGCCAACGAAAACATGGAATCCTGCAGGAGAGAGGGAAAGAGAGTTAGGGGGTCCAGGCAAGAAGCAGCTCGTGGAAGGAGTGTACCAGCAAACAGGTGGGCAGAGGAAGGGACCGTCCTTAGTCCCTCTTGGGAGCAGGATGGAGCACGAAGTTAGCCTGAGCCTGGGCTGCCCCTTCTGAGCCTTCGCTTCTGAGGAGAGAACATTCTTGCATTCCCAGAACGACCCCACATGTCTGTGACACCTGGCTGGATTCTGGTTACTGGTGTGTTGAATATTTGCCTCCATGCTCTTAAGTCACGTGAATGTAATTCTTTTTTGTGCCATTGTTATATGGTTTGGGTATCCATACCATGCCTACTCATGTTTCTATCTTAACACAAACCAGAAGATTCTAAAGTCCCTCACGTCCCTGGCCATGAAGAGCTCTGTTAGGCGTGAATCAGGATGTCCCGGGAGCTTCTCTGTCTCCTAGATTAAGCCGAGGTCAGAAGAGGAAGACAAGGACGGCAGAAGAACTACTGGATGGCTGAGCGGCCAGCAAAGGAGCAGAAAGCGGTCTTGGGCAGGGAAAGGCTGTGGTGGCCTGCTAGTCAGGGCAGAGAACACTCCCTGCAGCTTCAGCCCAGGTGGTTTAAAGAGCCTGTAGTCTGTGCATTAGCTCTCTCTGCTGGGTCCAGAGCCTGCCCCAGCTACTCAGAGCTGCGTGACCATCAAGGCACCTGCCCTAGCTCGGCTCAGGGAGTGCTGGCCACCGATACTCTTCGCTCCGGTCAGCCGGAGCATCTAGTTGAGACCTGCTACACTCCTGAGTGACGCAAGTCTGAAAGGAGAGCTACCTCCAGTCCTAACGGAACACAGGAGATAGCTCTGAGCAAAAGTGGCTGACAGGTCAGGCAGCATCTCCAAGCACCACTGGGGGGGGGCTCTCTCTGGTCCTGGGAGCTGAGGGAGACCAAAGAAACAGTGCTATCCTCAAGGGTAATCAATAATGTCCAATTTCTGCACACCCCAACTTTATAGCAATGACATGCCCAGAGGGATGAGTGGCTTAGGTCAGAGTTCAAAGCCAGAGTCTCTGACACCCCCCCCCCCCCCAGGTCAGAGCACTATACATTGCCCTGCCCTAGCTCTACCCGGAAATAGGAATGCTCATGAAAATTCCCTTACACAGACCTAAATGGCAGACCAAGACAAGAGACCAAAAAATAACTAGGTAAGAGAGACTAACTCTACTTTTCTATACAAAGTAACCATGGTTATAACTGCCTATGGCACACTGCAAAATAACTAGAAAAGGACAAAAGTTCTTAACCACACAGAACTGCGTAATGTTTGAGGAGATGGGGGCGCTAACCAGCCCGATCCAGTCATCACATACCAATAGGTTTCAAAAAACATGCAACAAAACTCCCCTAAAAGTGTACACATACTATGTCACAGCCAAGGTCTTTAAATAACAATGGAAGCTATTTCAACAGCAAGATAAGATTGATTGCCAGGTGATACAGCAGAGCTGAACGAGCTTAGGGGAGGGAGACATCACCGGCAGAGGTGAAAGCGGTTTAGGACCTGCAGAGCAAGGTTCTAGGGTCCAATATGGCCACCAGAGTCAAGAGGACAGCTTGGTCTCGTTCAGGACTAGCAGGTGCCCATGTCGATGCTCTCAACCACCCGCTGTGGACTCACACAGAACGGGAGCTGCTCTCTCTGGTGTGTCTGTCACCTCCACCCTTCACTTCCTGGCTATGTCATTGAGGCCCATTTCATGCCAGGCACAAATCAGTCCTGGTGCTCTGAGGAAGACCTAGTGGAATAACTCATTCATTCATTCATTCATTCCTACTTCTGTTCTGTTTGTATTGTCTGTTGCAGGGTGCACACGTAGCAGGCAGCCATGCGCACGTACTACAGCGCTCACAAGGAAGCCAGAGGACAGCGTTTGGAAATCAGTTCTCTCCTTCCACTTTCATGTGAGGTCCAGGAATTAAACTCAGGTTATCAGCTTGTGTGGCAACTGCCTTTACCTGTGAAGCCATCTCCCTGAGCCCCTGTTCTGTTGTTTTCTGAGACAAGGTTCGGTTACATAAATTTGCCATCTTCCTGCCTCAGCACCTCAAGTTTTTATCCATTTGCTTTTTCACAACCATTTCAACCAGTTCTTGCTTGTTGAATACCAGCTAGATACTCCACAGTGTGGTCCATGCTGGGGGATAGAGAGAGAGGGGCCCACCCACCAGAAGTTTTCAGTCTGTCTTCTTGCATAAGCTCTCACTTAATTACACTATACGGTTCAGAGAAATGTCTCCATTCTGTACTACCCAAAGGTGGCCAAAGGCTGGGGGTGTTAGCTTAATGGTAGAGCACTAGCCACACAAGGTGGAGGTCCTAGATTCCATCCCCAGGGCTCAGGCCCCTTGGCATCCTCTACGCTCTTCAGAACAAAGAGTACCCTGGAGTTCTTTCTTGAGCTCACGAGTACAGGGGTGTCTCGTGGAGTCCCAGTGCTTTGCTAATGCAATATGAGCACCAAGAAAAGCAGAACACAGTTCTGACCCTCCAAAAGGTTCCAGCCTTTGAAAGCTTACTTGATGCTGATCCCAGACCTAGCTGGGGCTGAGGGGAAAAGCTGGAGGCCCAGGGACACTCCGGTTGCTGTGGGACAAGATGAATTTCCCTACAGGAAGGAGCTGGGACAGCTCACAGTGCTCTCCAGCCAGAAATGACCATAAGGTCCTTGTCAAAGGGGTCCAAAAGCATGTGGAGAGCATCACGCCTACCCCAGGAAGGCTTGTGATCAGTGGCACACTTCCACCTCTAATTCATTTTCTTGGCAAAAAAGTAGCTAACGTCAGAATCTATGTCTGTTTCCATCATTTTTAGGCGAAGAGGTGAAGGGACAGGGGCCAGATGCTGTCTCCTCTCCTTTAAGCCTCTTCCATTTCTCCCAAAAGTTGAAGCTTTTCCATTAAAAGGCAGCTCCCACCTGCTCAGAGGTTTTGACTGGTGTGGCCTGATGGGCCAGCGGCAGCCTGCAGGGAGACAGAGCTGTGCACTGGACTGACAGGGACCCTGGAGACTTTACAGACATCCTTGAGATCCTATCACATGTCAATAAAGGAAAAACATTAGCTCACTTTCTAACACCTGGAAAATATGTCAAAGACGTCTAGCTGGACCTGGGCCATTTTCTATTTGCCGAAATGTTGAATTATCGTCTTCTTTCCCATTTGAACTCCAGTGGAGCTTGAAATCGATGTGACTCTTCAGATGACACCACTGACACAGGGTTGACTAATTAGCCACCGAACACCACATGGTGGGGCACCTTCCACACCCGCTGTGCCCCACCACGATCCATCTGGGGCCTTGAACTTGACTCCCTGGCTGTGACGGGTCCTGTGGCCAGCTAGTCAGCCCTTCTCTCCTATGTCTGAGAACTTTTTAGCAACAAAGAAATAACCCCCAACATGCAGGAGACGCAGGACACATCCCAGTGATGGAGGGGCATTTTTATGCATGAAGATTTTACTTTTATTTTTAAAATACGAATGTAAGGGGTATGTGAGTGCGGCATCCACAGAGTCCCGAAGAGGGAGTCAGATGCCCCTGGCTAGAGTTACAGGCACTTATAAACCTCCCAATGTGGGAGTCCTCTAGTCCTCTGAAAAAGCGGTGTGCACTCTTAACCGTCTCTCCAGCGCTCCATGGGGGTGGGACTCATTTTAAAACCCATCTAGTCCCACAGGCTCAAGGATATCCAAGTGGTTCAGACCATCTGAGCAGCCAGTGGTGGAGACTAGCACAGCCATGAAAATAGAGAGCATCTGAAGACACACAGAGAGAGAAGGGGTGATAGACTATTCACCAGAGAGCTGTGAGCCTCGAACTGGATAGGTAGTATGTTTCTGATTATTTGTAAATTTTTTTCATGTAGAAAAAAGATTGTGAAAATATCAATATTCTGCATCACAGGCTGTTTTCTTATCACTTTTCTTCTCTCCGATTATTAATAATGGGAATATAGCATTTTGTAGTTCAAAAGTTTATTTTTTAAAATCTGAGCCTTGGACTGCCAGGAAGAGGCTTTCGTGCAGTGGGAAAGATGCATCTTTCCTTGTAACATGCACTCCGGCATGGCGGCTGCAGGGGACATGTGAGCCTCAAGTGATCCCTGCGGTGGGGATGAATGGCCTAAGCTATCTCAGAGTCTTGAAACCCCACTTCATTTACACACACCCATTTCCTAGTGTCCTACTCCAAAAGTGACCCTTCTCAGCCTGTGCAGGAGAGTGTGCATTTAGGCCGAGTGGACACTTCAGCTCTTAGTCACTGGGGCTGGGTTTAGGGACTCACACCCACTTCAGACAGCCTTATTGCTTCACTGATTTGCAGTCTTTCTAAACCCACATGATAACACATTTACGCTATGTGATCCCATCACCTCTTTGGTGCTCTGAATATAAGAGTCATTTAATAAACACTTGTTTACAGCTAATCTTCAATGAGCCCTGATCATGAGCTTCCCCCAGAACAGGCCCACCACACATTTCATCCCTGATATTAAAAAAAAAAAAAAAAAAAAAAAAAAAAAAAAAAACCCTAATGTCTCCATTTTACTGATAAAACACTAAGAACTGGAGAGTTGTTGAAGTGACTTTTTCAAGGTCATGCAACTAACTCAGATTTTAGCTATCTGCCAAATTTTTCTGCGTCCCATACTTACCCTGCCCTTCGGTGTTCTAGGTACTGTGTGAAACAGCATGTCCTGTTACCTCAGTGGAGCCTTGGGCTGCACAAGAGACTCCTGGCTGGGCAGGAGATCAAGACACATTCCTGGAGCTGTTCCCGCCATGTGGTCCCTGCTGCACTCCTGGACACAAACCAGCCCTTCACAGGTCTGTGATTCTCCCATTCATAATAATCGGGGCTGAAGTACTACTCCAGGGACCTACCATGCAAAGGAGGCATCATGAACTCTCCTTCACAGACAAGGAAACTGAGGCTCCAAGGAGCCTTA